AAATCGATTAACTCTTCCAGTAACGTAAAAATGGTAACATTACTAACGATTACCTTTTGGCTATTTTTTCTTATAAATTTTATATACCGTTAGATGAAAGTTACATTTGTATTTATGCATTCTACGATATTTATTTCGATTTAAATTATAAAGGGAATTTTAAAAAACAATATACATTATTTCATTGCGTTTCTCCACTTTTTGTTTCATGAAGTTAACCAATTTGTGCAGTGAACGGCTCATATATAACTCGAAAATATTAACCAAAGCGTATATATGTTCAACGTTAGATATTATAGATTATATACATATATAGATACATCTTGCACTCCCTACCTGTAATTTGTAAGGATTCAAGGACACATAGAATATCAAGTGGCGCCTACTAATTTTCGCCAGTTTGTATTCCGGCTCTTACTTACTGCGACCACGCCAGAGCAAGTAAGTGACCACTTTACGCATACCGAGGATTCAGTTAATTACACGTCGCGCAACAATCAAGGTACAAAGCCGTCAGGATCTCGGTTAAAGAAATCAACAAAAGATCACGGGTGGCGAGCACGGCGAGGATCAGCCGGCTATTCACATTCTTCTTGGCTATTAACGGACGGTGTGAATCACCATTTTATCCTCGAATTATACAAATCGAGTCGGGTGCTTTGTGCGGTTCGAACAAACGATCGAAGGAAGCCGAAAACTCCACAGTTTCGGAGGTCGTTCTCTGACCTACTGCCAGAGAATTCGAGGACGAAGTTGTGTCAATAGCCTATGATGTTACGGTTAGTTACACGTCGACTTTCAAATCTTCTACGTATACATGTGAAAATTAACGAACTCGCTCGAATATCGCGTGTAAAATATGGTTAATGACCTTGGCTCCACACGATTCCTCATTTTTTATAGTTTTGTTGAACTATGTTATTTAATAGGCCAGACTGTGCAACCTGGCAACTCTTTGTCCTTTGCTTTGATAACTTTGCGATTTTTATCAGTTTTCAGGGGAAATATACTGCAGTAATGTGATGAGAGGATATAGTATAATATTATAGAATAATGCTATAATAATAATTGTAATGAGCGTAATTAATAAATTATCTTATATAAACGTGAAAATTAATTTTATATTTCAAAATAAGTTAAACAGTTAATAATAGTTCCAGAAATCTTAATATTGTTATAAAAATAGTAAAAGATATTGGATAAATATACTACAATAATAATATAGATATAGTAACATTCAGAATAATGCCACAATAATAATTTTAATGTGTGTAATTAATAAATTACCCTGTGTAGACGTGCAAATTAATTTTATACTTCAAAATAACAGCATAATAGTTCCAGAAATCTTAAGATTGTTATAAAAATAGTAAAAGGTATTGGATAAATATACTACAATAACAATATAGTATACCTTGATAATATCTACCATAATGATAATAATAATACCAATATGTATAATTAACAAAATATTTTGTGTAGACATTAAATACTGTAAAGTACTCGTTAATATTATAACAGTAGTAATTATGTGTATAATTAATAAAATATTTTAAGAAAATATGAAAATTGAGCTTGTACTTGAAAATAATATTAAATAATAATAATTCCACAATTCTTAAAACTGTAAGAAAACTACCAAAAGCTTTTTACAATATATATTTGAAACAATGTGTATAATTAATAAAACTTAATACGTAATGTTATAAAATAAATAAAATAAAATTTAATATCTACGAAACATAAAATTTAACGTTATATTTTAAAAATAATAATTCCAAAATCTTTAAAATTATGATAATATGAACAAAAGACAGGAATATAAATATCATCCATGATTTTGATGAGGTTCAAAAAGAGTAATTTGGTGAAAATATAAATACGCGAATAATTTTCACGACTATTAAATTAATCAAAAAAATTCAGACAAATTTTTAAAAATTCCTCACGAGTATATAATAATAATGACTCTCGTCAAAGTATAATTTCTTCACAAGGGAAACAATAAAATCATTTCAATAGTAGTATCTAGTAAATAAAAATTAAAATTACATTTAAATCATATTAATTTATTTATTTCAATTTAGATCAGCGATTTCCAAGTTTCATAGAATTCAAGTGACATTTAATGAATATGGAATACGACGGAAAAAAGAATATCACGGATAAATTAAGCATCGCAATTTACTCCAGCATCGACGAAATTCATTACTTCATGCCCGACGAGTTAAGGCTCCCTGGACACTGTAATACGACTCGCTATATAGTGAGCTTTTTATAACCTAAATTAGCGAAGCAAAAATACTGACCGAACAACAACCATAATTTTCGCGCATTTTTTCTTGCACGCATAACAGAATCACGCGCAGTAACAGGAGAAAGAGAAAAAAAGTCGACATTCTTCCTGATCTCGATGATATATGGTCATTCGGTAGTAAAGCGATTGGCTGGACATCATCTGCATGATGCGAATCAAGTGTTGATCGATCGACGATTACCCTGAGGCTCGGAACAGAAGCGCAGTAAATGTGAAATGCGAGTGGTATTAAAGCGGATAGCTGGTTAAAACAACCCGTACACGAGTCTCATACTCGTGTATATACGTATATTACGCAAGGCTCGCGTCACTAGCGCCCTCGCGGCGGACGAGGAACTAAGAAAAAATAGTCGAGCGCGTATCATGATATTCGAACGTTATGGCGCTACTGGCTCGAGCATTTAGAGCTTTGTAAACCTATCTCGATCGTTTCGACACCTACGATTGGTAATTTTGATAAACAGACTTGCGCTGAGAGTGCCACTAGCACCGAGTAAATTTGATTATTAAATACAATACTTTGAAATATGTTTACATATAAGATACTCGAATCAAGTGAATTTTTATTGTAATATAATATAATAAATATTACATTATAATATTTTTAATATAATTTATAATAGTGTCATTACTCTATATCTTGATATGAAATTTTATGTAAGATAATAAGTAAACTTTTTAAAATTTTTTAAAAATAAGGGTAAAATTTCACAAAGAATTATGGAATATTCGTTACTTTAATACGTGTAAAGAAACAGATGTTTAAGAGAATTATTTTTTAAAATAAGATCATGATCGACAAAATATTTTTAAATTTTTACGATATTAAAAACAGTTTGAAAATGTCACTTTTCATATATCGTTATATCCTTTAGCAGCAAGAAACGTTATTTTTCGTATAGAAAATTTGATTTCTAATATATTTATTAAGGAGGAATTAGTTTTGTTGTACTTACCTGATCACCGACTCCGTGGAAGGGACTTCCCGTCCAGGAATCATGATTTTCTCATATTTGACACCAAAGTTTGTGAATTCCTGTAACAGAACGATATGAAAAATAAATAACAATGATTAATTACAAACATTTTTGAAATATTACAAAACGGATATTTTTAATAAACACTTGTCTAATTGTCCACCTCCCTGATTTTTGCAAATTTAGATTATTAATGTACATTAAGCTAATTAGCATTACAAATTATAATAAAACAATAGAAATTTGAAAGAATAAAAAATTAATAATTCACATAGAAAATTATAATAAGAAAAATAAACTTCTTTTGTTTATATTATTAATAGAATTATTTATACGACTAACGAACATTTTTGTAACATAGAATTTTTACTTTATTACTAATTAACTTCAAAACTAAAATGAATAAATAAGTTGTTACACTATGTATGTAACACTCGTTTTATCAATTATTAATTACTTTTTATTATGTTTACCTCCAATTTTAATTCTTTCTTTAGTACTTTGTTAAGACAAATGCCAATTTATTTATCTATTAAATAAATAAATAAATAATACGAATAAATGAAGATAACTATTGAATAGATAATTAAATACAATGAATAAATGAAAATAATTATTAAATAAATAAAGAATGTAAGATAAATGAAGATAACTATTGAATAAATAAATAAATACAACGAATAAATGAACATAATTATTAAATAAATAAATAAAAGTATTTGTAATAAATTTCTTGGTTCGAACAAGAAATTTAAACATCGTTAAATAAATTTAGCAAAATTCAACAAATGTAAAGATCAGAAAAGGTCTTGTAAAGTATTATAACGAGATATATAATTATTTCGAGAAACCCTAAAAGAATGATAGTCACTGGTTGGTTATATTAAACCAATTATATCTGACTGATCGGTGAACATGACACTGACAACGATGATACGCACTCTCGGCTCATTTCTCGTCCATACCACGATCTCAGAAAAATTAAAACTAAAAAAAGAGAAGGACATATGTTCTGCCGTGAAGATGTTTTATCGAGATTTCTCCCTTTGCCCCTCGATTCTTCTACACTGACACTTACAAGTCACTTACATATTCTAATCCTAAGTCTTCCAAATTAATCGATAATTATAATATATTTCTTCGACAAAGACGCGATTATTAAGAATTCTTTTAAATTACTATTAAAGAAAAAAGTTTGCAATTTTTAAAATATTGGAAACCACTATTTGTAATATATTATTAATATACAATATGTATGCTATTATTAATCCTTTGCACTCGATGATTTTTTGACTAAAGAAGAGTAGAAATTCAAAGATTCTCTACTAAAAAACTGACGATACTTTTTTCAGCAGTAAATAAAGAATTATATAATAACAGAATTGTAGAATTATTTAATTTCGATACCTCACACACTGTTACATTACATTAAATTTGATATATTAATTAATACCGATCTTCCAAATTTTATGAAATGGTGACTGAAACTCACCTCTCGAGTGCAAAGGGTTAATATGCATGTATGTTCAGATAACATTAAGTTAATTTGAGCAATTATAGAATATATTTTAATAAAATTTTACAAAATTTTTTACCATAATTGTAGCATTCTGTAGTTTCCATTTTCTTTTTCTGTGTTTCGGAAAAATAATTCTTTATCTATTGCTTTATTCTACTTCTTAAATTTCACAATGAAATTTATAACACATTTAAATTGGTACTTATAATTTGGGTCACATATTAATATTAACGGGAAGAATACATCTTGGAAGACGGATATTTGACATAATATATTTATCAAATATACGTTTACTTTAATAACTTTGTTAAATAACGCGAAATTTTAAAATTATAGTAGTATATAGTTCCAGTACAAATAGGAAATACAAACATATGTTTCAAAACAGTAATAAATGATTATGATCTGTACCTACCTATTATACCGCGACTAGATTGATTATGACAAAAGTAAAATAAAATAAAAAAAGTCAAAAGTGCTCTGTTTCGAAAAGACTTGAAGAATTATAAATAAGCAAATACGTTAAGAGATTTTAGAAACCGAAATAGTAGTTTTATTTAATGTGAATCTATCGAAAAATCATTTTGCTATTATGTAACTCTTGGGTCAAACATTTAATTAATTTTGCATTGACGAAAACAAAATTTATATAAGTGTAGTCGATTATGAGCTAAAATATTTGAAACTGCTCGAGAAGAGACTTATTTCTTTTAATTTTGTAATATAATAATAATATGAAATATCAAAAATAATTATATTACAAGTTAACGAAAATTTAATTTACTATAAGTTAACTTAAATTTATTTTAGAATATTATATGAGTTATTCTAATTGATAATGAAATAAACTTGGAATTAAAA